ACTTTTGATCAGTTGACTGAAAATCAACTATCAATCAATTGATCTTGAGGAAAGTTTTGAGCCATTCCATTAGGTCAAAATGATGCATTTGAATCCTTGAGATCATGTCTCAAACCAATAAGTCGTTTTCTAGGTCAAAAATCATAAATTGCACCTTCTCAGTCAAAACCCTAATTTTGACCATTTTGCCCTTTTGATGATCTGATCAAATTTCTTGAGGAATTATGATCCAAACTTGATAAAATGACATATATAGGTTCATGATGTTGATATGGATAAAAAATTATGAAGTTTGACTGCAAATTGATCACATTTGACTTTTTTCTCAATACAGTTGATTTTAGGTCAACTGATCAATTGATTGAGCAAAAATCTGATTCAAGACTTGAAACTTGACATGAGCAATCTTGAGGGTTCAAAATGATCCATGAAAGTAATATGGAGAATTAAAAGTCCATTTGTCATTGTGCAATATCAAACCCTAATTTTCAGTCATCAGTGCTTGAGGAGGTATCTTGAGTTGATCAACCCTTGTGCAGTCTTGAACCAAAGGAGATCCTGTGAGAGATTACTTGAGAAGTGAGAGGGAAAATTTTAGGGTAAAAAAGTGGTGTATATACTACCTCTCAAGGAAGATTGTTCTCTAGTTAGGCAGAAGCTCGGGAGAACTCGTCCGGATATGTCTAACAAGATTCGAGAAGAAGTCCTTAAACATTTTGATGCAGGGTTCTTAGCAGTGGTAGATTATCCCCCTTAGATAGATAACATCATGCCAGTTCCCAAGAAGGACGGAAAAGTACAAATTTGTGTAGATTATCGGGATCTGAACAAAGCAAGTCCCAAAGATGATTCTCGTTATCTTACATAGATGTTTTGGTGGATAATACAGCTAAAGCAACAATGTTCTCATTCATGGATGGTTTCTCAGGTTATAATCAAATCAAGATGGCATCCGAGGATATGGAAAAGACTACTTTGATGACTCCTTGGGGCACTTTTTGTTACAAGGTAATGCCTTTTAGTCTAAAGAACGCAGGGGAAACCTATCAACGAGCTATGGGAACACTATTTCACGATATGACCCACAAAGAAGTTGAGGTATACGTAGATGATATGATTGCCAAATCTCATACAAATGAGGATCACAACATACATTTACAAAAGTTATTCGAGCATCTACGAAAGTTCAAACTGAGGTTGAATCTGAACAAATGCACATATGATGTCAGGCCAGGCAAGTTATTGGGTTTTATTGTAAGTCAGTGTGGTATTGAGGTGGATCTCGACAAGGTAAAATATATACAAGAAATTCCAGCTCCAAGAACAGAAAAAGAGGTTTGTGGTTTCTTAGGACAATTGAACTACATTCAAGGTTCATATCACACCTAATTGTTACATACGAGCCTATATTCAAGTTACTTCAAAAAGATCAAACACTGGTGTGGAATGATGATTGTCATACATCCTTCGAGACAATAAATCAATATTTACAAGAGCCACCAATCTTGATGCCACCAGTTTCTAGAAGACTTCTCATTGTATACTTAACAATTCTTGAAGGATCTATGGGATGTGTATTAGGACAACACAGTGAAACAGGTAGAAAAGAGCAGGAAATTTACTGCCTAAGAAAGAAATTCACCGACTGCAAAATCAGATACTCACTTCTCGAGAAGACTTATTGTGCTTTGGCTCGGGCCACTAAATGATTAAGGAAGTATATGCTAACACACACCACGTGGTTAATAGCAAGAATGAATCCTTTGAAGTATATGTTCGAAAAACCAGCTCTTACATGAAGAATTTCCATATGGTAGATGTTACTATCCGAGTAAGACATCCAATATGTTACTCAAAAGGCCACCAAGGATAGTGTACTAGCAGACCATTTAGCTCATCAGCCGTTGCCAAAATATAGACCAACGAAGTTCGACTTTCCAGACGAATATTTCATGATTATAGGTGACTATGAAATACCAGGACCCGACGAAGGACCTAAACCAGGGGTACATTGGACTCTCTCTTTCTCTCTCTCCATCTGTATGCGTGTGTGTGTGTGTGTGTCACTTTTGCATTTAATTTTTCATAGGATATTGCATGCTTAGGTTTTCAATTCTTAGCGTAGTTTATCGTTCATTCAATTGGTAGAGATTTATTACATAAGGTTACATATTGTTAGAATTATGGCCTAATCAAGCTTTAGTGGTGATTAAATTATGAGAAATTATTGAGGTTATAATTCATTGATATTGAATCATTGTATAAGTATATATCGTGAAATATACAAGTGAATCAATTGATTACCTTTGTGTATCATCATAAAACCATCTTCGGTATTTGTGAGTTGACTAAGTGTTAACGTGATCAAGTTCCAATAAAAATATCATTTTCAAATTTTCGCTATAAACCTTCTGCGCACACTTTGAAAAACCTTTAATAATCCATTTTGGAGAATTAGTCGAATTTTAATAATTGTTTTTAAGGGTCTATTTACCCCCTATAGACCATTTCATTACTCCATATTCTCACCCGAAACTTTGCTTTTGAGATGAAATTGACATCCAATAAACATTTAATCGTGCTTTCAGTTGCCTCAGCCTTTCCAGGGAACTGTTTTCTCCGATGTTGGGACACATACTGAGTGTCGACATCCAGGTTTAGCTAATGGTAAGCCACCTAGGGGTCCATATTCGGCATTTCATGGAGAGATATGACGAAGAGGTCAGCATTCATCTTTATTGCTTCACTAAGAAGGATCTTCATAGAATACATTTGAAGGTGCTTTTACACTTTATCACAAGGAACGTGAGAGTCAATCTTTTCTGATATGTCCCTTCTCTAATCGATAACGTCAGATCTATCGCTCCACAAGGACAAGTATTTGAATCATTAAAGGAAAACAAATCTTCTCCACCAAATAGAGTCAGGTCTGCTTGTTTGAGGCATAATAGTTCCATCGTGTCTTCATAAAGAACGTTGCAAGAGCTTCAACCGTCTACCAGGAGCCCTGTCAAGGTTTGATCGGTGATATAAAATGCGATAACTAAAGGTAGTTCAGAGTTTATGATTCCGTTAATCTTTTCTCGATCTAGGAATCCTAATCTTGACCGATCAATTTGCTGAACTCCTAAATTGGTGTCTAGCAAGAAACAATTGAAAGGTGACAAAGTATTAGACTCAACGACATTTTGAAATTCATCGATCGACAATAATAGATGAAGATTTAGACTTGAAGTTGAAACAGTTTTCTCAAGCATCTTTAGAGAAGCTACCAATTACGCTCACTTTGTTTCCAGCGGAAAACTTTCCTCGGATTGAGAATGAGTTGTTATAGATGAAAATGCGGGAATCATAAATCGATTCTCATAAACGACACCACAATTTCATTATGAAACCAAAAATAGAGAGAGGTGCAGAAGCTGTGACGGAGTAGAGCTTTTGATGTGATGGTGCGTGGATGTACCTGCAAGGTTAACGCTTTGACGCTTAAGTCAGTCTATGAAAGAGTAAAAAGTATTTAAATTGTGTTTGAAACTAGGGGTTTCGCGGTCAAGTTTGGTTCAATTTTGTGAGAATTTGATACCTAAACATATAAAAAAATATGGATTGATTTGTATTGGATTTTATTTTTATTTTATATAAAATCCAAACTGAACCAAACTGAGAATAACATATTGGTTTGAGTTGAATTGATCATATACATTAGAAATAAATGTGCAAAAATATTTTAAAAATGATCCAATTTACATCAATTAATTTTCCATAATAATACAAAATTGTTTCTCCATATAGGTTGTTAATGTCATAAATGATATTTCATTTTTTTCTTCTCGAAGTTGAATATCTTATACTAGTTTCTAAAATAATGATATAAATTATATGAATTAATATGGTTGGTTCGGGGAGACGGCCTCGCGGGTAAAATTTTGGAAATTCGTTGCTAGAACCAATTAATATTAAGTTTCTTTGATTTGGTTTAGTTTTTGCCCGAACTAAAAAAATGTATGACCCAAATACCATGTTTTGGTTTGGATTCCAGTTTGATTTGGATTTGCCCAAACCAATGAATACCCATATTTGAAACTTGTTACCTTAAATACCACCATTTCTTATAAGGGAGAGGAATAACAACTTCAGGTGTGAAATGAGAATGATCGTTGGATGCGTGTGAAGCGTAAAACTCTTATAATAAAGTACATGATAGTCTTACGATAATAATTTTTTTTCGAAAATATAACTATGTAATCGATCCAAAAATATAATTTGGACCGAAGTATCTCATAGCAATCAGTCAACATTAGAAGGATATGCCCGATCTAAAATAAATACCAATCATTTTCTCAAGATATATATTCCTTCTATAACAAATTATAAATAAATTTGACTTTTGATACATTTGACGATCAATATACGTATAAACTACATACATTGATTGTCAAATATATAAAAAAATAAATTAAATTTATTTATAATTTATTATAATTCGTAGTGTAATGGGTAATTAAATTCATATTTAGATACTTTCATCATTAATAGAAATAAGTAGCATACATAAAAAATAAACATAAAACATAAGTGGCATGCATAAAAAAGTTGAAATACGTATTAGTAGCACAAAAAAATCATCATTGGTTTGAAATGGGATATTCTTGGAACACATATGCCCCATTCAACACATGAAGTGAATTGGATCGTGATGATGATTGAAGAGTGAGAATCCATATCATCATAAAACCGTAACCCGTTTCATCTAGTCGGCAAAATCCATCAACGAAACGACGCACCGAATCACATCATTATCACCATAAACGACATTCCCTATCAAAATTCCGGGTAAATCCGACCCACAACTACCTTCATACGCAACACACCCCACGTCCCACTACTATACACAGCTATTTAAATTTCCTCCAACCATCTTCCTCTCTTTCTGAGTCCTAAAATCTCTATAATTTAGGGTTTTGCATTTCAATTGTCACACCACCTAGCCCTCTTATACGATGTCGCTCAGACCCAATGCTAGAACTGAAGTTCGTCGCAACCGTTACAAGGTTGCCGTCGACGCCGATGAAGGTCGCCGGAGAAGAGAGGACAATATGGTTGAGATCCGGAAAAGTAAGCGTGAAGAGAGTCTATTGAAGAAGAGACGTGAAGGTCTTCAAGCTCAGTTCCCTACTCCTCTTCAGTCTTCCTCCATTGTCGAGAAAAAGGTACTTTAGGGTTTGATGTCGATTTCTGATGTTTGATTCGGTCATGATCCAATCTCAAATAGCGTTCTCAGTTTAGATTTGATTGGGTTTTGTGATGTAGGTTCAGTGTTTAGTTATGAAAATGGGTTTGATAATTTACAGTTAGATATGTCTATGTGTTGCAGTTAGAGAGTCTTCCTGCAATGATTGCTGGGGTTTTATCGGATGATAATACTCAACAACTCGAAGCAACTACTCAATTTCGGAAATTGCTTTCAATTGGTAACTTTTGATTTAATTTGATGTTTTTGGTACATATGTTTGTGATTCTTAATGTTAAAGTCTGTTTTTTGTGGTTCGGTAGAACGCAGCCCTCCAATCGAGGAAGTAATTCAATCGGGTGTTGTTCCTCGTTTTGTTGAATTTCTAGTGAGGGAGGATTTTCCTCAACTTCAGGTTTGAAGATTTGTTTTTTTTTTTTTTTTTTTTGGTTTTGGAATTTTAAGTGATGTGGTGTAGTGTTGTTGAAATTTGTTGTTATGACATGCTTGTTTAGTTTGAGGCTGCTTGGGCACTCACAAACATAGCTTCTGGAACTTCTGAGAACACTAAGGTAGTAATTGATCATGGGGCAGTACCAATATTTGTCAAGCTACTTAGTTCACCTAGTGATGATGTTCGGGAACAGGTATGTTCATACTGAAACGTGGTAGACTAGAACGGGCTTCATAGTTGATCTGATTTTTTGCTAAACTATGGTTAAAACCAAAACTCTGAAATTGTAGGCTGTGTGGGCATTGGGAAACGTTGCCGGTGACTCCCCTAGGTGCCGTGATCTTGTTCTAAGCAATGGTGCCCTGATCCCGCTGTTATCCCAGTTGAATGAACAAGCAAAGCTTTCAATGCTGAGAAATGCCACATGGACCCTGTCAAACTTCTGTAGGGGCAAGCCACAACCTCCATTTGATCAGGTAATTTTTGTTGTTAATTCTAACTTAACTTGCAGAGGACTTTTTTCAGTGTATTAATATTGGAATTTGGATGGGCAGGTGAGGCCTGCGCTCCCTGCTCTTGAGCGTTTGGTTTTTTCCAGTGATGAAGAAGTCTTGACAGATGCATGCTGGGCTCTCTCATATCTCTCTGATGGGACAAATGACAAAATTCAAGCTGTGATTGAGGCAGGTGTATGTGGCAGACTTGTGCAGCTCCTTCTGTGAGTACCTATTCATCTATTCATGGTCAACAAATATCCTGATTCAATTGTTGACTGTCTTATGTTTGTGTTATGTAGGCACCCATCTCCTTCAGTGCTGATTCCTGCACTTCGCACGGTGGGAAATATTGTAACTGGAGACGATATGCAGACTCAGGTAATGTCATAATGGCTTATGAGTTGTTGCAATAATTAGTTGCTACCTAATTATTTCTAATAAATTTAGCTTTTATTGAGTGTAGTACCAAATTAGTGCTGTATTCCTAAATTTTGTGAACACATTAAAATTTGAAATAATATTACCTGAAATTATCGGAAATTAAATTTTGCAAGTCAGATTTGATTAATAAAGAACTCCAAAATGCTACAATAGTATGTGGTTGTTGAAGTTTCAGTACTTAGAAATACTAGTCTAGGAATCAGTTTTGTTTTGAGGAGGTGGGGGAGTTTTGGTCTGGGAAGAACGAAAAGTTATACTGGTGAAAAATTTTGGTCTGGGAAGAGCGAAAGTTACACTTGATAGTCATTTCTGGTGATTTACTACTATTTATTACCGTGAACATAGTCTCTTCTCAGCGCCCCTGGTGTTTTGTCACGTGTCACCTGTGAGACTTCCCTGATTTTGGTGGGACTTTTTTTGTCAGGCTATTATCAACCATGGTGCACTCCCATGCCTTTTGAGCCTGTTGACCCATAATCATAAGAAAAGTATCAAGAAAGAAGCTTGCTGGACTATATCAAACATCACAGCCGGAAACAAAGAGCAGATACAGGTAAACTAGTAAATCCCTTTTCTTTACACACATTTAATGTTGCATATTATGTTTAATTAAGTATTGTGTTAAGTTTTTTATGCTTTTTTTCAAGTTTGATACGCATTTAAATTGAATTTCTCAGTGCTTAATGCCCTTTTAAAGTATAAACTGATAGTGTTCCAAGTTTTCCGAGCCACTGGTACTTAGTTTCTGCAATATTGGGAGCTACATCCTGTTTAACATAGAGATGTGATGCAATAATAATCATTGTTGTCTTGTAGATATGATGCAATACTAATCATTGTAGTCTTGTAGATATATTCAGTTCTCATGTAGTCATGTAGTCATGTTACACCATTTAGAGCTCACTGAAGGGAATGTGGTATGGTTTGAAGGATGGCATTATTGTTGTGTTTTTCTGTTTCAGGTCTTGTCTTCTGTTGGCATGTGGTTTTTAATTTGCTTATTTACCGAAAAAATGCTCTGAACGCCACCTTTTATCATGTATAATGTAGGCTGTTATTGAAGCTGGTCTGATTGCTCCCCTAGTTAATCTTCTTCAAAATGCTGAGTTTGACATTAAAAAAGAAGCTGCATGGGCACTCTCTAATGGTACATCTGGCGGTACACATGAGCAAATCAAGTATGTGAAATGGTTTTTTTATTGTTATTTTCTGGCTCTGTTTCATGCAGACATCACGGGAGTTATGTATTGACTTACCAAATGTTGTTGTTACAAGGTACTTGGTGAGCCAGGGTTGCATAAAGCCTCTGTGTGATTTGCTTGTTTGCCCTGATCCAAGAATTGTTACTGTCTGTCTGGAAGGTCTTGAAAATATTCTGAAGATTGGAGAAGCAGAGAAGAGCTTTGGTAACACGGGAGATGTCAATTCATATGCTCAAGCTATTGATGACGCCGAGGGATTGGAAAAGATTGAAAACTTGCAGAGTCATGACAACAATGAAATTTATGAGAAAGCTGTTAAAATTCTTGAGACATATTGGTTGGAAGATGAAGACGAGACACTACCTCCAGGCGATGGTTCTCAAGCTGGTTTTAATTTTGGAGCCAATGACCTTCCGGTCCCATCTGGTGGATTCAACTTCAGTTGAAGACTTCTGTTGAGTGGGTATATGCCTCAGTTGTTTTATTTTTCCCTCTCGGGGTTACAACTGTAGTTTACATCCAATCTTATTATATAACTTTTTGTGTTCTCTAAACCAATTGCTTTCAATAATTGTAGGAACTTGGTTGGATGGAGCAGGGTTGATCTAGGGTGACTGTTGGGGTTGAGTCTGGGTGGGGTGGGTCCATGTACTTCATGGTGTCTGGTGTCAGTCGGGTCTAGTGTCTGTAATGAAGTGCTGGGGTGGGTCAGTCTTAACTGCCATGTCCGAATAAGAAGGGGGGGTGGTGGGTTCAGTTAGCAACATAATGTGAGCATTGTATCTTGTGCAGGAAATGTATTTTGCTGGGGAGAAATTATGTTGCAGTAGCAAGGACCTGTGTTGTTGTGTGGCAATGGGGGAAAGGGGTTTTTCTTTTGAAGGGGCTTTGAGTCCTATTTTTTATTGAGTCGTACTAGTAGTTTGTATTGGTAATTTATACCGAGTCAGTATTTAATTTGAGTGAATACAGTGTTCAGAACCAAATTTTATGTTGTATTCTATTAAAAAAGTTAGAGCTATTTAATCTCCACCTTTAATAGTTATAATGCCTTCTCAAAATAGAATTCTTTAAGTCAAACATGAAACACCTATGATTATTAATTACTCCTTCCGATCACTATTATAGTCAAAGATTTTTTTTTTTTCAAGTTCATTAAATAGCTGACGTATTATAATAGTGATTAAAGGAAGTATTACTGTACTAGAAAAGTTGATTTCAATTCTGTGGGCAATGAAACCGCTATTTGAAGACATACAGGAAAATCAATGCTGTGGTGGACCTTGAAATGTATAGAGGAAGGAAGAAGCCTTTTGTTCCATTCCATCATCCATCTAACTCTGCAAAGAAATCAGGAAGTTGACAGCTAGAGAAGAGTCACACTCTAATCAAAGCTGCAACCCTTTATGGTCGACCACTTCAATTGTGAATTTGACATCAGACACTCGTGTCATAATAAATGTCTTAATTAAACTTAAATGAGTTAATTTTAATAATAAAATTAGTATCTGGTGGAGAATTTTTTGAAAGAGTTAGATGGCTATTATTATAACACTCTCAAACTAACACGATAATCGATAAATGTTTTATAAAGATCTCATGATTAAAATGATGTAACCACTTGATATTAATTAAGTTTCATATCATATAATTTATTATTAATTTAGTTATTATATTATATTTAACATCAATATAGTGAAAGGTTAATATGGATAAAATTTGAGTTAAAAGACCTCATTATTAGAATTGAAAATGAGTCGAGTCGAGTCGAACTCGACTTAACTCATTTCGACTCGTTAAGAATTAGTCGAGTTTGAATTCGAATTTATCACACATTTTTTTTCCAGCTCAAATTCGACTCGTTAAAGAATTAATCGAGTTCGAGTTCATCATGAACTTTTAATATATATATATATATATATATATATATATATATATATATATATATATATATATATATATATATATATATATATATATATATATATATATATATATATATATATATATATATATATATATATATATATATATATATATATATATATATAAAATATTTTAAATTAATATTTTTTAAAACTTATCTAAATAATTAACTTTGATGAATAATATGATAATTAAAACAATCTTATTTATTCTTGTATTCACAAGAATTATAGACAATATTTTTAGCTTTTGTATAATATAAGTTTTATATCAAAATAATATTTATAATTCAAGATATTATCATCAAAAGTAGGTAATATGAACAAATAATGAAGTGTTATAAGTTAAGTTTGTAACATATATTTGACTAGGTTGAATTTTGATTTTTTTAATCAATAGAATTATAAATTATTTTATCATAATACGAGCAAATAATGAAATGTTATAACTTAACTTTGTAACATATATTTGACCAGATTGAATTTGAATTTTTTTAATCAATAAAATTGTAAATTATCTTATCATCTTTTAAATGATATAAATAAATATGAAAATTAAGTATTGATGTCTTCGTGAAACTTATATATCGAGTCAGTTCACGAGTCAAACAAATCTAATTAAACATAGATTAAGTTTAACTCATTTATTTTACAAACTTAATTTTAAATTCAAAATCAACTCATTTAATTCATGAATCAAATTCAACGAATGAATTATTGAATCGAATCTCAAATTATTTTTAAATTAATTTGGTTCATTATCAACACTACTCTTTATTATTACTTTCAGTCTTTAATACAATAAAAAAATTATTTTTTAAGTTTATTAAAGAATTAATATATTTAGACTATATATATATATATATATATATATATATATATATATATATATATATATATATATATATAATCTAAATACATCGATTTTTTATAAACCTAAAAAGTAATTTTTTTGCGTGACAGTTTACTCTTAGTTAGACTATTTATTTAAAATTGTAAAATATTAGTAGCAACGTAATTTTTTATTTATTTATACGATGCTCAATGTTTATTTGAAAAAATTAAAGTATAGAACTGGTATTGCACACACGACTAATAATTGAAGAGATGCTTTGCTGGATCCCTCATGTTTTTGTTTTCAAACCTTTGAATGTGAATTCTACTGTAATTAAGGTTGATGGACACACAAATTTAAACAGAAATGAATCATTGATGTCAGAATATCTAGTTGGCAGATCATTCTGACAGCTATACAAGAATTATGATTGGATACGGTTACAGCAACGATCCTAGTCGATCCATTATGGCTTTTGTACATGTACTGCCAACTTTACTAGATAACACCACATTCATATCATTATAATAAGGTGTGTTTTAAAATGACTAGAAAATAGGTAAGTGAATGTTTTTTTTTTGTTTTTTTTAAATTCAGAAATAAGTAATATTTGTGAAATGTTTAGTAGACCGTTTACATTTTGAATTTGAATATATTCTTCTAATATATTTATATGTAATAAAAATGGTTTTTAGCATTATTAAGAAATTTAATTAAGTATTATTAATTTTTTAGATTTTGGTAAAAATATTAGTTAAATTTATTATAATGTCTTTTTTATTGAATTTAATAGAATGTTGAAAAATAAAATAGAGGGATATATTAGGAATTACAATATTATGATTTAATAATAATTGATTTTTACTTATAATAGTGATCAAGAATTGTAATATTTTTGTTGCTTATAAATGTGTCTGGAGGGTGTATCGTAGAATACAGTAAGAATAGACAACGTTTATGAAATATTGATGTAGGCTAAAACATTGTAATATTTAATAAAAGTGTTGCTGAAAAAAACGTGTTTCATGAAGGATCGCAACTTTGTGAAACATTATCACTTTAACCTATAAATTGAACATTTCAGATTCAGAAAAACACATTGGAAAAAACCCATATTCTTCACACAAAATTCTATATTTCATCTTCCCACATTTGAGTTTTTATTGGTTTTGTACAAACTCAAGTATAAACTGAATTATCTTAGGTATTCACGCGTACAAACTCTTAGATGATTTGAGATGTGCTTGAAATACTATAAAAAGTGATTTGTTCACGATTCTAGTTTGAATTCATTTAATTTATAATTTATTATCTAACAATCTTATAATATCTCAAATAATAGCAAATGTAACACCCCAATTTTAGTATATATATATATATATATATATATATATATATATATATATATATATATATATATATATATATATATATATATATATATATATATATATATATATATATATATATATATATATATATATATATATATATATATATATATATATATATATATATATATATATATATATATATATATATATATATATATATATATATATTAATTAATTAGCGGTGTGATTTTGTAAATAAATAATTATTTGATGTATGTTGTGTGTGATTGGTTAGTCGAGTTAAGTACGTCAAATCGTAGAATTATAATTAATAATAATGTCGGTTAGTGAAACAATATTTTAATTAGTGAGAATTGTAGAAATTAATAGCATATTAAGTAATTGGGCCTATTTAGTGATAATGTGATGAGTAAATATGGGATATGTGTTAGTAATTACTAGAGGTTGTAATTTGTAAGGGTTTAATAAAAAGAAAAGAAATAGAGTTAGTAAGAGGAATAGCAAAAGAGAAGAGAAAAGAGTTTCGTGAGAAAAGAAGAGAAGAGCGAGAAAGAAGAAAAATGGCAAGAACGTAAAAGTTGTGGAATCTACCTAGAACAAGGTAAAAGAGAGTTTTCATTTCGTTATTGGAATTGTTAATAATGCATGATGGGCAGTGTCATGTATTAAGAATGATTTCTCTAATTTTCCATGTTTTGAATTACTTAGGTTTTGATTGAGAATTCATGGAATTGGTATGTGATTATGTTGTGATGTTTGTGTTGATAAATATATGTTGAATACATGTTTTAGTAACTTAAATAATGACAAGTTGGATGTTAAAATATGTTTTGGATGAAGAAAACCACATTTAGAATGTGTTGTCATCGCAAGTTTTTTTGGAAGAATTGCAGAGCTCGCTCAGCGCGAGATTATCTTGCTTTGCACACTCGGATATGTAATGAGCCCGCTTAGCGCGAGGTAGCGCGCTTAACACGAACTGAAAGTTAACTTTGTATTTTTTTATTTGATTTGGTATTATGTATGCTTATATTTTATGCTAATTTATGCCAAATTTTTGAGAATTTAATCTGCATATTAGATGTGTTTTCGAAGGCTATTTGTTAATGACATGAAACTTATTTTTATATTGATATGTGCATGTGATGGTGTTGGAGTGTAATTATATTTTGTACATTGCTATTATGCATGGTAATGATGTTTCAGTGCAGTGATGAGACGAATATGAAATGTGTGTGAATAATTCATGAGTATGTGTATGTATGTGCAAATGTGTGGTAATTCAAGTGAGATGAATTATTAAAGATATTCAGGGATGTTAAGATTAAAGA